AGGGCAGACACAGACACTGACTGGACACGGGGATATAGCAACTAAGGATACACAGAGACGCGAACTAGACAAGGGAATACAGCTGACAGGGGAGACAGAGCAACTAGAAAAGACAGAGACATAAACCATAAGACAGAACTCAAAGAAACCAAAGACTAGAAATTATAATTAATATAATAAACTCAAAAACCATGGGTCAACGACCCAGGCATCCTAACAGACATGGGAAAATCAAGAGATATCAACCAAAACACCAGAAAAAGAACTGTGGAGCTCCATAAGTGTGGCTCAGTTTGAATACAATTTGGTACCATTTGCAATGGACTACCTGCACAATCACTTCTGCATTCTATGTAGTCCTGCCCCAGTGCTTCCGGTGTGGTTAAACCATGGCGACGTTCTACACTCGCTGCCTACAAGAGCTCCCAAAATTGAACATCACTGATGATCATCGGATTTGCAGAGTGACGACTACCCCCGCCAGCAAATTAGATAAAGGATTTAAGTTATATGCTGCATCATATATACACAACTACAAAGGTAAGAAAACCTAAATTAACCGACAAAGAGGGGGTTCAACTTTATAGCCATTCCACTCAAAAAGTGTTGGTACAGCACCTTTAATAAGCCGCCTTCGACCATCGAGGGTTGTTGGCTCTATGAGTTGATCACTGGCAAAGTGTCTGCAGCAGACTCTGATGTGAGAGGTAATCGTGAAATGATCCCGGCTTATGTTTACCAGCCATTGTCTTCTCAAATCGGAATGGGTCGGAAAGCAATGAAAACTTAGTATGCCGTTAAATTTGGCTGAAGCCGAACAAAATGGGACACAGCAATGCTCGGAGTATTTCTTCTCCTGCTTTTGAAAATGTTCTGTTTTAAATACTTTCCTTTTTATACTCATTCTGAAGCGACATTAGCATAGCTACCAACAGATAAACAAACATACCGGAAACGCCCAAGCGGTAGTATTTGGAAACGGAAATACGTCACATGCCCTAGTGCAAGTAGTCCATTAAGAAATACAGACAGTTTCTCTCTTTACTCTTAAAGTTAACAAATATGTTTTTTTTTTATATTTACCAACCTAAAATAAATAAAGTCTGATTTGATGTTACAATTAAAAAAGTGTTTTTGATCTGAAGAGTTTGTAAATATCTGGTTTCAACTGTATATTTGATGATTGTGAGCACAAAGAGGGAGAGAGAGGAACAGAGAGAGAGAGAGAGACAGAGAGAGAGGAACACAGAGGGAGATGGAGAATGAGGACAGAACAGAGATGGAACAAGAGCAGGTGAGACACACGTTAGTCAAATGGTTGTTTACCAAAAGTATCACCGTATCATAGGTACTCATGTATCTCCCCATATGGAAAAGAAATAGTAAAAACTTATATGACTTACTCATGAAAGTGGCCACTTTCTCATTACTTTCATATATTGTTTTAGTAAGTATCCAAAACATACAAGTTTCATTATATAATTCTTCAAGGTATCTTATATCTGTTTTCACTCGTGTATGCTTTTCATACAAGTTTCACACAAAACAGATACAAACTTTATAAGATTTATATATATCTTTTCCATATGGGTTGTACCTAGTGTTTCTTTTTAGGTTAAATAATTATATAAACTATTCTCAATCTAAATATTGTACTTTGGTAGAATTAAAAAAATAAGTGTAGTGCAGGTCTATGATGATTTTTAGTGCTACTATCATCTAGTTCTGATT